GCGAACCTCGGTCGAAGGAGAGCCCAAAAGATGAGATCCTTTTGCAATGAGCTTGAGAGCAGGCCTCCAACATTCCCTCCTCCGCTTAGAAGATTGTAGCCTATCACAACATTCCACGCATCGTCCTGACCCAACGGAATGCACACACGCGCAAAATGACCTACACGGCTGACCCTTCATTCACAAGCGATCCACGCGGCGCGCATCTGAGCATCATGTCAATTCTGAACATCGATCGACATCGAAGTGCAGTTGATCGTCCTGTCTTGATCATGCCAGACCCAAGTCTCTGCTCAATCGTTGAGTCGCAGAGAGAACCAGATCACCCTCCTTGATCACCCTGGTATAGAGCATCGACGTGCCTCCCGCCTTCTTGCTCTCCACCACACCAGCCACTCGATCGATGACCGCTGGAAGTCTGCCCGAAGCAATGAATCGCGCCAAATCACTGCGAGGTGGCGTGGACAAGTCGTCTGGGTCAGCGTCGAGCGACTGTACACTTGTGAAAGGATCTGGCGAACTCACGCGTCCAAGAAGTCGGGCTGAAGATAAAAGGGGAGTGGCCGAATGCAGAAAGCGGACATCAGCAGAGCTCGGATTGAGCACGAGGATAGAAATCGCAGCTCACCGTCACGCCAAAGGCGGCGGCCATGTTGGGAAGAGTGATCGTGCTGTAACTTTGAAGCACGCTCGAGTATGCCACCAGGCGCATCTCGCGAACATAATAGCGCGCGTGGGGCGAGAGGACTCTCGATGGCAGCAGGTGCGTTTGCTCGACCTCGGCTGCGATGAGCACAAAGCGTAGTGAGGAAATTGTCTGCGTGGCGAGAAAGAGCACCGTGAAAGGAACAAGAAGTCACTCACCCAATGCCTTGAAGAAAGCTGCATAGTCGCAATTGTACAGGCTAGACGAGAACGATCGCAAGTGCTCAATCTCGTCGATGACTTGCAGCACTTCGGGGGAGTCAATGATCTGCAAAGTGGATAAGACCTCTAAGCAAAGGGCTCGAGAGGGCGCGAGACTCTGATTACGCAACTCGCCTTCTTCTTGATATCTCTCCTGCCCAAGGTGAGAACATTGGCGATGACGGTCAGGGTCACAAAGTCCTTGTAGCTCAGCAATTCCGTGGCAGTGAACGTTGAGAGAGCGTCCAAGAACAGCTCCCCGCCTTGTTTGAATTGACGTGTGGAAAGCAGGTGCAGGCCTTCATATACCTTGAGTCTATTCCTTCTGTCCCAGTCCCCGCCTTCTTCGACGAGCCTTGGGGTGGCGCTGATCAGTTAGCATCACTCATAGGTCCGAAACTTGCTTCTTTTGCACGTGTACTCACTCTTTAGCCTTTGCGATGGACTCGATGGTTATTGACGCATCGCCATGGAAGAGGCCGATTCTTATTTGCGTCAAGACCAAATCCAGCTTCGAGCCGAGGCCAGCAGCCTTCTCAATCGCAAGCTTATGAGCTTCGAGGGCCCTCGTCTGCGCACAGGTAACAGCATCCCCCCGGCACAGATCAGTACCTGTGCCTTGTCGCCAAAACGAAAAAGAGCCCTGCTCACCTTGTCTCCAATGCGAGCAAGGTATGCCGCTCTTTGCCTTCTCACTGCATTGACCTCCATGTCTCCCTCGCTCTCCTCAAGTCTGACCAGCGCGTCGTCGATAGCCTTGAGAGACTCTTCATTCTTGGCGTGCAGCTGAGCGTGCAAGTCCTTGGCTCGACTTGGTAGGATAACGCCAGCGGCCAGCAAGGCGGAGAGGTACGGTGCCATTTCTGCGTACAGAATTTGAATTAGTCAGTCAGCAATGCAGCCGCGCACGTAACAGCATACCAGCGTCAGTAGCTCAAGCACGTACCATCCGTCTCGATCCCTTTTAGAAGCGCCTCGGAGACCTCCCTGCCCTTGGAACCGGGCGTCCGCGGAGACATCAAGACGAAGTGAAGTTGCTGCAACTCCAGGTTTGGAATGGGTTGAGGGACGTCATCATCTACTCCTCCAGCATTGACGGTGGGCTTGCCAGGCACTCCGGTGTCGGATGAGACAGCTTGAGGAGCTGCTGAAGGGCCTGACATCCCGAGGGGTCAGTGGAATCGACGTGCTGAGAAAGGTGGGGCACGTTCGCTGAAACCGCGTTCGTTATGCGGATAATTGACACTTAGGCTATGCTTATACTCTGCGCGAGTGCGGCTGGAGGTTAGGATTGTGGAAGCTGTGATGGCGGTAGGTGCATGAGTGTGGTCGCCATGACAGCTACAGTCGTCACACTTGTGTCAAGTCTTAGACTTCTGGTCTGGACGCGCGTCCACGACTCGTGACGCTCACACCACGAAGATGAACCGTGCGTGGCTTTCTCGTACGAATTACAGCTCCCTGCGAAATGTCGCATCACCGCCCACCGCATGCATGGCGGACCTATAAGATCGAGCTTTTCCAGCAGCAGGCTGAGCTTCGGCGGACGTGGAGGATGCATTCAAACACAGAGACACATCACTCGGACATGCTACCACCAGCAGCATCCTGCATCCTGCCCACTGCTACGCCGGTGCTCTTCGCCGCGCGTCTCAAGCCACGCAGATACAGTACGGCTGACGTGGACCACTGCCAGCTTGTCCTCATCATCGATTCATCAGCGTTCAAAATCATTGCGTCAGCAGCGACACCGATGTCTGCCATTTGCTTGGCTAGCACCTGAACGCTATCCCGCAGACGCGAGACAATTGGATGCGACGGCGACCGCTCGTGCCTGCCTGCGGCACACAATACGCGGCCAGCATAAGGGGCACACGCTCCGATAGTCAATATGCCAAGTTGTGCACTTCAGCTGCACTGCTCCTGGGTCGTGCTAGTCTTCCTCGCGCTCCTTTACACTACACTGTCTGAGCCTGTCAGTGGATCGCCAAGCCAAAGGTCAGCTCACCACTCGTCCGAGTATCAATCTCGACCTCAAAGTGCATCTTCTTTGGCACTAAGTCTATCAAGGCGAGGACTGAAGACAGCTCAGAGACTCGGCGGCACTCCACGGCATGCGCCATCATTCTCTGGCCTGACTCTAAGCAAGACAGTGCTCCTCGCTACTGTCGAAGGAGGCTTGCACGCCCTCGATAGGCATACTGGTCAGAGACTGTGGGATCTCCCAGCCAGAGCCCAGGCAGACCCTGTGGAAGATTCTTCAAATCGCCAGAAGTTCTCTTTCGAGCCCTTGGTGGGAGCATACTATGGTCGAGCTCGGCGGTCATTCGCTGATGTCGCTGCTAGTCAAGAAGGTGCTGCTTCTCTTCAGGCGCTGCGTCG